ATATATATATGGAGTGGTGGCCTATAGAGGCTAGTGAAGGTGGGCCTTCCAGATGGAAGGTGAAACGTTTCAGCAAAAAAAGAAGCTGTCCAGATGACCTGACTGATAATTGTTGGATTGTATACCCTGATTATTGAGCATGGACTTTTTCAGTTCTGGAAAAGGTGAAACACCCACATGTGTCTCCACCCTCATTTGCCCCAGTCTGGGCCCTTGAGCAAGTCCCTTAACCCCCACCATCTGCTCCTCCGGGCGCCCTAGATGACAGCTCTCTGCTCCACACAGAGGTCTGTGGTACCTCGGTGGTCTGTGTTTGCATCAGGAAGGGCATCCAGCTTAAAAACAATTGCCAAGTCTTTGTGCGAGTTACTTCGCTGTGGAAACCCCTGAAGATGGGAGCAGCCGAAAGAAGAAGAAGAAAACAAATAGATATATATGATATATTTGTATTATCTTATTCTCAAGTCCTTCCTCCGTCAGGGTTCCCAAATGCACCTTATTTGTGCCAAAAATCAGACTGGAGCTCCATAAACGGTGCTTACAATGCTGTAATACCAACAAAACGTATTTTGTTATGTAAATCTGCATTTAACCATTACGTAATGTACAGCCCATTCCATCTGTGTAGCGCCTGAAAAATAAAAGGACTGCTGGGACGGCAAAAAATTTTCAAGCCTTTCGTTTATGTTGGCTTGTAATTATTTGCTTTACAGCATTATAATAAAGCACCTTTGGCTTCATAAAAAATTAACACAGGCCCAAAGAACATTTGAACACACGAACACCAAACATACTTGGCTGATCCAGCTGACGTAAATGAAATCCTGCTAAAGAAAATTAGATCTGTTTCTTTTTTTTAAAATGCAACATTAATACCAAATGTTCTGAAAATAGTTCAAAGTATCTTTATATTTTCTCTTTTTCACCATTGTATAGTCTGTTTTCGAAGTTCTTATATACAATAAATCGTAGCTTTCCTGTGATTTTGTCCTTTAGAAGAGAAGTACGTCACTGTGCAGCCGTACACCAGCGAGGGCAAAGATGAGATCGCTTTTGAGAAGGGCGTTATTGTGGAAGTCATTCAGAAGAACCTTGAAGGCTGGTGGTTTGTCAGGTATGCCTTTCCTCTCCCCTTTTGAACATTTTGGTCAACTTTGATTAAAAAAAAATATATGTTTGTTGTCTCCTTCCTTCCAGGTACCAAGATAAAGAGGGCTGGGCTCCAGCTTCTTACCTGAAGAAGGTAAAGGATGACTTCTCACCGCGTAAGAAGACTGTAACTGGTCCTGTGGAGATCATCGGAAACATCATGGAAATCAGCAACCTCCTAAATAAGAACACCTCGAGTGAGAAGGATGTCCAGACTGAAGGAGTTCCAGAGAGTCCTCAGGTGGCCAGGAAGGAGATCAGCTTGCCAATCCACTGCTCTGACTCCAGCCCTGTAAATGCAGCGCAGGAAGCAAAAAGCACAGCGGAGCCTGCTTCACCAGCTGTAGCTCGTGTTGCCCCACACCGTGTGGAAATTGGTCAGTCACTTTTAACGTGTACATTTTATAATATTTGTCTGCACACAAACTCATTTGTGTCTATTATTATAAGTAGACGACTTGCGACCCGTCCAGGGTGTACCCCGCCCCTCGCACAGTGATTGCTGGACATGGGCACCAGCGACCCCCGTGACCCAAAATGGAATAAGCGGGTAAAGATAATGGATGGATGGATTATAAGTAGACCACAATTAGATGTTTTTTAGTTTTACATTTTCACAAACACTTATACTTCTACTGTGAATGTGCACTCATATTCAGCACTTTTTAATGGTCACTCCTGTCTTGCACAAGAGCACTAATATGTGACAGGACTTGGAATCGACCCATAATCTTCAATGTGTTGTAATCCACTGTGCCACAGCAGCACCCTAAATGAATATAGACAAATTATAACTTTGTTTTTTATCATTTTTGTTGTTTTTGCAGGTTCTCCTATCCTCAGGCAAAAACCTCCTCCTCGAAGAGATGCAACCTTAGTAAGTGTTGGACATTTAGGTAAAATCTTCTATAGTCATTTTGTCAGGGTAATCTCAACTGCTTGTAGGAACATTTTCTGAGTTTGTGCATTTTAGATTTGTTCATGGTTTAAAAAAAAAAATAATAATAAAATATATATATATATATATATATAGTTCAAGTTCAAGTTATGTTTGTCTTATGCAGGTTAACACACGGTTAACAGTACAATGACATGCTTAGGATGAGAAGAACTGATTTGACTCGCCCCCCAAAAAAATACTAACGCATGCAATAAGGGTACAAGTATTTAGATGCATAACAATTAATATATTTATATGAACTGATTCAGTTTTAAGTTCAGGTGCTCCAACAAATTATTTAAACATCAAAGGCAAAAGGGATGGATTGTAAAGAAAAAGCTAAAAATACTGACTTATATCATGCATGAGCATTATTTTGATGTTGCCACTAATCATAAAGTTATATTAATTATTATTTATTGGACCACTTATTAATATAAACATGAATACATTGTTTTTGATATAACATAATTTACAACAAACAAACTAAAAAAAGTTTAATTGTGTTCTTTTTTGCTATTTGAAGAAATGTGACGAGTCAGAAAAGACGTAGACTGTTTTGTTGTGCATACCATGCATTTTTAAAGATTATTTAATTTCTATTCTAAAATATCACAAATCGTTATAGTGCAAGAAAAAAAAATACAATTTGTGTAAATACAACATTTACAACATATGCATATTAATAAGCACTTTACTTGAATAAGTGATTTTTCTATATTTTCTAACATAACATAATACTAAGTAAATACTAACACATAAATACAAGAACTATAACGTTGCTCCCTCCTTTTTTTTTATATTTACATAGGGCTTTCAGTTGCCCTCCCCTCCAGAGCCCCCTACAGTTGAAGCAGAGTATTACACCATTGCTGATTTTCAGTCTTGCATATCTGATGGCATCAGTTTTAATGGAGGTCAGAAAGCAGAGGTAAGTTAGCCTGTTTTTAATGTAAGTTTAGAAAACACGATTATTATAAGGCTTTGGTACAAACTATGTGATTCTTGCTTCATCAGTTTACTCAGCACATTTTTACTATTTAATCAAAACTCCATCATTTAAAAACTAAACATTTCTCTTTTGTGCACTTTAGGTTATTGAAAAGAATTCTGGTGGTTGGTGGTATGTCCATATAGGCGAGAAGGAGGGCTGGGCCCCATGCTCCTACATTGATAAACGCAAGAAGCCCAACTTGAACAGAAGAACAAGCACCCTCTGCCGCCCTAAGGTTCCCCCACCAGCTCCACCTGTCAAAAAACAGGACTCAGTGGAGACGGCACCACCCAGCAGCTCTGGATCTGAGGCCCCGGAGTCTCCCGTGTCCCCTGGGAGGCCAGTGTATGAAGAGCCAGAATACGATGTTCCAGCTATTGGTGATCTGGACCTAGAGTCTGAGTTTGAGTTTCTGAGGGGAGAAAGTTCTCTGGTGGATGTTAGGAATGATGAAACGTCTTCTGAAAAAGGATCTCATCGGTCCTCCAAACCATCTCCTGCTTCTTCGCTCCACAGTGCCTCCTTTAAGTTTGGTGAATCGTTTGAGGATGGCCATGAAGCAGAAGGAGAGGCAGAGGGTGAGGAAGAGTGCATCTATGAGAATGATGGGTTCCAGTCCTTCAGACAGATCCCAGAGAGGCAGTGCAGCAGGGACTCGAACTCCTCCAAGACAAGTACCTTGTCAGAAAATGGCAAGACTGCTAACCCATCATCAGGTGGATTTAGACCTGCTGGTAACAGGTTTAAGACGGACTTGAACGGGAGTCCATTTTCAGCCAAATCTGAAGAGGCATCTAGTCCAAAATGTCTCTCCAGCGAGCCCACCCCAGATCTGTTGAGACCAAGGAAAGACCACGAGGAGAGCAAGGCAACCTCTTCTGCTAAGTCTTGCATTAAACCAAGGCCAGTAGTGAGGCCCAAACCACAGGTGGCCAAGGGATCCAGTGCAGAGAAGATGGACATCAGCACCTTAAGAAGACAGCTGCGGCCAACAGGTCAGCTGAAGAATGGCACCAAAACTAAAGGCGAAGACTCTGAGACCGCTTCAGTCATTTCCTCTGAAGACTCATTCTCTTCTCAGAGCACGTCTGATCTTTCATCCATCTACTCTAAAGGAAGCCGAGGTGACTCTGACCTGGAAGGCTGCAGCCTGTACCGCACCACAGATTCTTATGAGAAGGTCCAAGACTCTGAACTCAGCTTCCCAGCTGGAGTGGAAGTGGAGGTCCTTGAAAAGCAGGAAAGTGGCTGGTGGTACGTCCGTTGGGGAGATGTTGAGGGCTGGGCTCCAACTTACTACCTTGAGGCAGTCAGGCAACAAGATGACATAGAGTATGAGCCTGATGGGACTCCAGCTAAACTTGGAAGTCTCAGCAAGTCCAACAGTCTGGAGAAGAACGAACAAAGGGTGCGAGTGTTGAACAACATCAACCAGTGTCTGAAAAAGTCTCCACCCATCCCCTCCAAGCCTCCAGGGGGTCTTTCCAAACCCACTAGCCTGTTCAGCTCAATAAAGCAGAACAGCACCAAACAGCAGCAGGTTGTCAGACCCCAGTCCGTGTTCATCTCAGCTCCAATCAGAAATGGTTCCAGCTCCGTTGGCTCTCTCAGGAGAAACGAGTCCCTCAATTCAGCAGACAACCCACGCTCCAGCCCAACAGTGCGACGCAATGCCTCCTTCGGCACCGTGCCTCGAGGCCCAGCACCGAATAACATAGCACTGCCCATCAGGAACAAATCTGGTTCTGGTAGCTCAGAATCTCTGGGTCTAAGCTGTCAGAAGAACGCCCTCCCAGTATCTACGGTTAAACCCAAGCCCCACATCATCCACAACAACCTCAGAGAGATTTACGTCTCCATTGCAGATTATCATGGCGACGAGGAGACTATGGGCTTTCCTGAGGGGACAAATCTGGAGGTTCTTGAAAAAAACGCTAATGGATGGTGGTACTGCAAGGTTCTGGACAATGGCAGACCAAGGAAAGGATGGGTTCCCTCAAATTACCTTGATAAAAAGCACTAGCCCCTATGTGTCAGGCCTGCAATACTCTCGAAGTCAGATGGGTTTATTTTTGTGAATGAGGCTAATCTGGTACCTACACCAAAACAAACAGCAAGACCAAATTGTAACTATAATTATAACTGTAATTAGTAAAACAATAAATGATCAGATGTAGACACATCACGTGCTCAACTTTTTGTCTTAGTTTGTTGAGATTTAGTAACAAAACCAAAGAAAGAAGCAGAAAACAGCTGAATTATTGATTTTTCTCTCCAGCATTTACATTTAACTTGAAGGATGTCTTAATGTGTCTAATCTTTGAACCCATTTCTGTATTTTGTTTAAATGTAGTTTGAAAAGCTTTTTAAGAATATTCAGCTTATTGCATGTTTGATGTGATTCATTATACCAAAAATGCCTCGAGCTGTTGAAATTAACCAGTTCTCCTCCATTTTTTTTTTTTTTTTTACAAAACCTGTTTTGTCAGCGATGCTTAGCATTAGTCTCATTTTGGTGCTGCATGTTTTATACGTATAAATATAACTTTAAAATGTATGTCATCTTTTTGTAAAGTATTTTCTTTAACTAATTTTATACTTTTGTCTGAATGAAACAAACTGTGAGCATCTCTGATTATCAGTTTATCATTTTGTTAACACTGTAACATTTTGATGCTCTTGATAATTATTTCTGAGTTTCTTTTTGAAAACTCGAACTTTTGTTAAAAAAAAAAGTATTTATTATGCTAAATTTATGATAAAAGTCACTTCTTCAACACCTGTAAACATTACTGCTCTATTAAATACAATACAATTTAGAATTTCTGCTGGGCAGTAAATTTGACACAACTCTCTTTCTTTGGGATGCTCACTTTTGTTTTATATTAAAAGTTTGTCCAGTTATAATAACTGAAGTGCCAAATAATGACTTTAATAAATGCACTTTTAAAAATTTCTGATTTTCTTTTTTTTTTTTAATAACTTTACATCACTTATTAATAATATTTTTTGCTCAAGCCAGAATTGCAACTCTAGTTTATTGGTTTGTAAAACAGGTGTGAAAAAAAAATCCCTGTAATCTTTTGCACATCTTTAATAATGCAGAAATTAGATGGTATTTACAAAAAATAATTAGAAAAACAAGAGATAGATTTATATACCCCGAAATTTTTTCCAAAATGCTTCATTAGGCGGCAAAAAACAAACAAAAGAAAACAGAGCCAGTGATGAATTCATGTCTTGTTCTTTCACACTGCACACATTGTGGAAGGAGACGCACGAAATGTGTTAATCCTTTCAGCAAACGCATTGGAAGGCAGTGATCTCTATTAGGATGAAAGTAATGCACAAGGGGAGTAATTATCATCTGAATTAATTGCAAATTAATGTGCCGTATAATTACCATAAAAATAACAAGAAATCACAAACCATAATCACAGCAAACGTCCAACCTTTTGAATTTCTATTTTTAAGCTGAAGTATTGTTAAAGCATAAACAAAGACATTTGTGCAATAAATAGATTTTGACTTGCTATGTTATAAAAAATTAATAATTACAGTATATTACCTGGCGTTTACTTATTTTTTTGTAGCCCACAACACACTAACACTATTACATTTTCTGGACCAGCATTACTTATATAAAAATAAATTTTACTCTTTCATTGCTGGGTTAGACCACTGCACAGTGGGCAGAGCTGTTGCCTCACAGGCAGAAGGTGACAGGTTCAAAACTGACGCCATGTCTTAGCTGCCATGTTCTCCCTGCACATGTGCGGGTTTCCTTTGGTTTCCTCCCGCAGACCAAAAGCATGCATGTTAGGTTCACTGATAACTCTAAATTGTATCTAGGTGTAAGTCAATGTGCGTCTAGTTGTCTCGATTGTCTATTCTGTGATGGACTGTAATCTGTTTCTGCCTCTTAACCAATGACCACTGGACATATTTGTAAAAATATGAAAATGGCCTCTTTAATACTGGATTATACAGTACTGCCTGCTATAATAAAACTGACACCACATGATAAAAAAATAGCATAGTTTTTAAGCATCAAGTGCTGCATATTGCCTATTTTTTGGATTTTGTTTCTGAAAAATAATCACGATTACCGCCCACATGACTTTGGTATGAAATGTGTACATCCCAAGGGCTGCTCCTCTGCTGAGCTGGAACTCTACATTTGTTGACTTGAACAAGAATAAAGAAGTAATTCTAGGCTCTTTATTTTTGAACTGGCAATGTGCAGATATATGTATATTTTTAAATAATGCCTTCCTGCTTCCTAACTTGAACATATAATGGATAAATTACAAGGTTAAAAAAAGAGTAAGGTAAGATGTGCGAGTGAGTTAATGAAACGACAAAGGTGCAGTTGTATTCATATATGACATTTAGTATGAATATGTAAAGATCAAGTTTTGCCGTTGGTATATTAAGTTTTTAGTTCCAATATTTATAAATGTACAAAAAATTGACTGTGATTTTTGACGTTTGATCTCATGTGGCGTTTTCTTTTCTGAGGTGTCGGACATGACTTTGACCACTAGAGGGCAGCATCGCTCAGCACCTTCGTCAGAACTGAACACCTACACACCTTCACCAGCGACTCCATCAGTTCAGTTAGTACAAGAGTGAGATGACTCACTTGATATTTTAGATCGCCTTTAAACATGATGGCACTTCTCACAGTCTGTCAACATCACAAATTTGACAGAGGAAAATATTTAACATCCCTCTGAACACCAGAAGCCTCACAGTCCAATACCAAGGGGGCTAAACTGAGATTCTCTGATGTGTGGGTAAAATTCAAAAAGCATCCACGTCCTTCTTCTTCTTCCTTTTTTTTTTTTTAAATACAAACTCAGTACTTTAATAAACAGTGTGTGTGTTTGACCTAGCAGCTGTCTGACAGAGATACTACAACGCAGCTCAAACAAGTCTGCCAAGCCTTTAAGCCTTCAGAAGGCCGACAGCCAGGTTCACTCAGAGGTCTGAGCGGAAACTCTGTGTGCACAGACACCGGCGAGATACACTGTGTTCGTGTCACTTTCACAGACTACAGTTGTGTATCGTCCTCTCAACGCCGAGAACACTTGGTCCATTAGCAGCAGCCGCTATCCTCCTGCCTGTTTTATGTCCGGACGTCACAAGCTTCACTGGTGCCTGTTGGATTGCACCATAAGACAGAGATGCAGCAGAGCCAGACCAACAGTAAATAACAAATGATGTTCACTGTGGCCAAATCTGCATACCACAGCTATAAACAGTTTCACTGTGAGTTATGGACGTTTACTAAAAGCCCTTGCCTTTGTTATTCATATAGTACGTGGCGCAATGTTAGTCAAGTATACTTTTGAGAAGAGTGATTATGCAGCGCAGAGTGCCTCTTTGTTCTCTAGCTGTTGTCTAGTTAGTGATTTCTTGCACAAGTTGTTCTGTAAATGCACCATCAAACATTTTCAATGCCTAATTGGGGAGAAGTTAATGACATCAATCCAATCTTATACCCCATCTGTGCCAACCTGAGTTCACATTCATGTTGTGCAGGAAATACCAGAAAAGAACTGCAGCAGTGAAATGGAAATGGTCAGTTTATTTTTTAATATTATTTAATGTTCATTTACGTCAAGTGACTGAACCAACAACCAGGAGATTAACTGAGTTATATAGACTTGTATTTTTTGTGTCCATCTTAAAAATAACTAGATACATTGCATTTCCTGTGAAAATGCAGTGTGAATGCTTTTTTGCAGAACTTGCTGAAAAACAGCTGAAATTAGCTAAAAAAAATCTGAAATGAAGCAGAAATGGAAGAACAAGCCTAAATTAGCAGAAGAAAGCAAAGTATATATTTCCTGAACTAAGTTTAAATAAGCAGAAATGAGCACAAAAAAATAGTAAATTTGGAAGAAAAAAAAAGCTGAAATTAGCACAAAAAAAAGCTGAAAAGTAGCTGAAAAAGCAGAAAGAAGCTTAAATTACTAGAAGGAAGCGGAAAGAACTATGAGTTAAAAATGTGGAATTAGCTGAAAAAGCTAAAATTAGCATAAAAAGGGCTAAAAAATAGATTTAATAGAATGAAAGAGCAGCAGAAAAAAGCTGAAGGGAGCAGAACAAGCTGAAATTAGCATAAATAACTTAATAGCAGAAATTAACACGAAAAACTTACATTTATCTGAAAACGGCTGAAACTAGCTAAAAATGCTAAAATGCTAGCTGAAAATTTAGAACAAGCTTAAATTAGCAGAAGAGTGCAGAAAGAACACGTTGGCCCAATTTGGCTGAAGGAAGCAGAAATGAGCCCAAAAAAGTGGAAATTGTCTAAAAAATGCTGAAATGAGAGAGAGAGAGAAAAAAAAAACAGCTGAAAAGCAGCTAAAAATCAGAAATAAGCTTAAATTACTGAAAGGAAGTGAAGGAAGCACATTTTTGTGGATTTAGGTGGAAAAAAGTAGAAATTCTTGCAAAAATGTGGAATTGCTAAAATTAACATAAAACAGCTAAATAGTAGCTGAAATTAGCTGAAATAAGCTGAAAGGAGCAGTAAAATGTTGTAAACGGATCTAAAGATTTGAAGAATGTAAAATTAGCTCAGTTCATTTTCTATGTGGAAAAAAAGTCATAAAAGGCTAAATATTTCAAAAAGCTAAAGTTGCACCAATACCAAAAGTCAAAGCACCCTTTTCCTGAACGAGCTGAACATTTTGATAGATGATTTGTTGAAATAGCTTGAAAACTGTGGGACGAGAAAGATGCCAAAATGTACAGAAGAAAAATGGATCACAAAAGTGTAAATAAACATTCACACAATAATAAAAAAAAAAACCACCAAGACAATAAAGGTGTCCTAAATTTTATTTCATAAACCAAACATAATTAGCAAATTCAGATATAAACACCCAACAGAAGAAAACCCAGTAAATCAAAGTCACGAGTTAATATTCCTGAAATATATACTTATGTACCTTTATAACTTATTTTTGGATTTCCTATATATATTTTTTTATCTACTTTCTTGAGCTAGATTCATTTGGTCACATCAAAAAGCATTCTCACTGGATCAATGTTGATAGAGTTTTACTTTATAACATGATTTACTGATTGGTATGAAATCAAACTTTTGTCATGGGGAAACATTGTTTTAAATGTAATCTGAGTACAAACAGTACAGTTCTGGCCTGTTAAACCCTGAAAGGCCTGAAAGCCACAGGCAACAACATTCATGTCTCAGAGCTTTTAAAGACATTATCTTATTATGTTTCCATTTTTAAAAAAAATCTGCTGAACATGTAAAAACTCAGTTTTATTGATAGTATGATGGCAAATTTAGTAGAACTTTTTTTTATTTATTTTTTTGGCAGAGACCTGTTGCTAGGCAACTGCAAGCAAGGATCTGAGTTTGATTATTATTATTTTTTTTTCTATATCTGATGCATTTAAGGTCCAATATTTAGTCTTTTTTTTGCCTACTTATTGGTGATGTTCTGAGGTAAATGTCTTTGTTTTTTTTCTGTTAACAGCCTGTTCTTATTCAAAGAACGAACATTGTTACATATTAGATATAAACAAAGGTTTAAATTTGTAGCAGCAAACAGATGGACATGGTTTTTTTTTTCACTCAGCCCAATTAAAAAAAGAAAGACAAACTGTTTGAGATGCTAGTTATGTAAATGAAAACATCAAGAAAAGATCTGCAGATGATGCAGATTCTAAAAAGCCGTTATTAAATTTATGCTCATTTAGAAATAGTCCTGGCATGTTTTTATGACTGTGTTTTTTGATGTATGCTTGGAATATGAGAAAAAATAAAGCTACTCATTTTTATTTAAAAAGCAGAATGTTTACATTATCCCAAACAGCCCAGAACCTACTAACAGTTCCCACATTTGATATGTTGTTTGTAACCTTTTCCAGGTAAATTTAACATTCATTTAAAATATATTGCTTGCCTTTTTATTACACATCACCATTATGTTTTATGGGAAACTTATTGTATTGATGTGTCAAAGGGTATATTTTTTAGCAAAGTCATTACAATGACAATTAGATGATATCGTAGTTCAGCATCATACTTTAGATGTAGTTTTCTGTGACCATCTCATTTATTTCTCTACCACAAAGTTGATGAAAAGAATCAGTCAAGCTAGTCCCTAAGAAGAGTTTTAAACTTTTTTGTTGTTGCTTTGGACACAAAAGTCTCACGTATACGAAGCCCACTGTGAGAATTAGTTATATTAGCATTGAAAAATAAATACACTTTTGAAAATACAGTTAAGATTTCAATCTTCACTAGCATTTTTTTTCTACTAAAATACCACATAAAAATGTATTTCTCTTAGTTCATATTTGGTCAAAAGGAAAACAACCAGGTATAAAAGTACAAGCTCAGAGCAGAATTCCAGTACTGTGCAATGCAGTGACATAGAGTTAAACATCTGAACTTTAGCAGGTAAGAAATGTGCACAAGCACTTCCAAATGTTTAAATAATAAAACAATCTGTACTTGTATACTGGTAGTTAAATATTGGGTGCCATTAGTAAAGTTATAGAGTCAAAAATTAACAGCAATACTTTGGTTTATTTAGCCTTTCATAAGAAAAAAATAGAGATTTTTTTTCAGTCATATTTTCACCATGTTATTCATACATTTATAAATTTCATAGTTCCAAACTAAATATTTATTTTACAGGTTAAATATTTAGTTTACAAACTAAATACTTAACTCTCAAGTTAAATATTTAGTTAGTAAACTACATATTTAGGTGTAAGATAAATATTTAATTTCCAAGCTGACATTTATTTTCAAAACTAAACATTTAATTTCCAAGCTAAATATTTAATTCATAACATAAATATTTAATTTGCTAATAGCTCAGGCATTTATTTTCCAAGCTAAACATTTAATTTCCCAAGTTAATTAGCTAACTAAATATTTATCTCAGACCTAAATATTTAACTTTCAAGTTAAAAATTTAGTTTTCAAGTTAAATATTTAGGTCCAAATTAAAAACTTACTTAGCAAATTAATTTTGGAAATTAAATGTTTAGCTTGGAAAATAAATATTTAATTTTGAGCTATTAGTGAATTAAATATTTATGTTATAAATTAAATGTTTAGCTTAGAAATTAAATATTTAGTTTGGAAAATAAATTTTTAGCTTGGAAATTAAATATTTATTTTACATGTAAATATTTAGTTTACTAACTAAATATTTAACTTGCAAGTATTTAGTTTGTAAACTAAATATTTAGTTTGAAACTATGACATTTATAAATTTATGATCAACATGGTGGAAATATGACTTTGATAAAAAATAAACCAAAATATTTCAGTTAATTTTTGACTGTGTAACTTTACAAATGGCACCCCATAGTTAAATCTCAGAATGTAAGAAAAATTAAGAAAAAGAGAATTTAGGATGGAAAAAAAAAATTGTTCCTCTTTGTTTTCACTCCTTACAGATGAATTTGTCCAGGTTTCATTCAGGCCAACTCAGAAAGTTGAAGTAAATGTTGCACAACAAACATGTAAGGGGTAATTTTCCTGTTGTAGTGATGAGATAAGCTTCAGCACTTTGCAGGACAAAACAACATCCTCATTATTACAAGAGTCGGGGGAAAAAAAACAGCAACTTAAAGAGCATCTGAAAATACCTGGGATTCCTTACCACTTAAAATATCAGTATAATATATATAACATAGAGTAGAAAAGTTAAAATAAAATGAGCTAGCTTTTACAGACAGAGCTGCATTCAGAAACTGATATGCAAAAAAGGGTCATAAACACATGATGTCTTTGATAACGATTGCACACTTGTGAATTTTTACCAACTTAATTATGCAATGTACATAACTACATCATCACCAAATCAACTGTTTTAACCACATATAGAGATAAGCGATAAGTGCAGAACCTGAAGTAAGCAGAGTACCTGGACTTTTAAGGGATTCTTGCAAAAACAAAGAGTTGGATTCATCATCTTAATGTGCTCTTTCGGCATTAAAAAAATCTAATCACTTTTATGCAATCCAACAGTTTTAGCGAGCAGCCGGAGAAGGTGGACGCGGCTGCCATTAAACAAAACATCTGCATGAATAAACACCATGACAGGCACACGCCGCTACACATCCCCCCCGCCCCCCTTCTTGTTTCCATCTCAAATGTGAATCATCTTTCTGCTTTAGCGCCGGCGTCACTGATCCATCGCCACAAACGTGTCCTTCAGCAGTGAAATCATTCACTTTTAATTTATTGGTGCCACTTTACCTGAAGTTTGAAGAATTGCAGATGCAGACATGTGCAGGGAAAACACTTCAGTTATCTGAAATATTTTGTATCTCCATGGTTTAGGCTTTATCCTATAATATTGCTGACCCAAAACCTCTCTCAGTCTCTCTCACTTATTTTTCTCTGATATCTAGATGCCTTCTGAAAACCTCAAATAAAACTCTCTTCTCTTTGATTTTCTCTCAGATTTAGGCGAGAATTGATTCTCCCTCTCACACAGCACTCTGACTCAATGCTTCCTGACAAGCAGTGTAGGAGCAGCTGGCGAAGCCGCAGATTGATGCCGTTTGTTATTTTCCACAGCTCTGGACAATCTTACTTTACTTGGATGGTGCTATCACTGGCAGGAATGAGGGGTTGCTCCGCAGGAAGTGGGGCATATGGCTCTTCAGATAGCTCTTTCTCTTCAGCACAAGTGGCTCAAAGGTGTGCGGTCGCCTTGTCTTTGCAGCAGCACAGATTTTACTTCTGTTGATCCACGTTATTTAAAATGGTGACACATTAGCCATTTATAACAAGTCCTGGCTTTGAGTACCTGAGCCTGATCACACATACACAAACACACACTTGTGCTCTATCTTTAAAGTCTGTCATGGTTTCGATCATGTCTCAAGCTGAGCTTAATGTCCTCCAGCACAAGCCTACGTGCTTCTGTAGGTCTTGATGATGTCTTTGATTGTCCTCCTGCAGATGGGGCAGCACGCATTAGACATCTTCTTGAGCTTTAGACCACACGTGTAACAGAGACACATGTGTCCACAGGCGTAGAGGACGGTGTCCACCATGTTCTCATAGCAAATGGTGCATTCGTCACTCCACGGGCTGGAACAAGGCGGGAAGGTAGGGGATTCTGGATGGCTTGAAAACGGAGAGCTCGGGGTTGTACCTGAAATCGACATGGAAAAGACGAAAGAGGCGTCAGTGTTTAAAAGAAGGTAAAAAAAAAAAAAAAACAAAGCTGTACAAAACGTTCTCCAACCGGAGGGATCATATACTCTCACACTCTGCACAGTTCATACAAAAACGTATTTTTTGTTATGTTTTTGCAGTGGTTGGATGTAACAAAGTGCAAGTACTTTGTTACTGTACTTAAGTAAAGTACAGATACATGAAAAATGTACTTAAGTAGAGTTGAACGTGGGCATTTTTTACTTTTACTCCACTACATTTTACATTAAGTATCTGTACTTTCTACTACACTACATTTCTATAATGCGTTGTGTTACAAGTTACATTCATGTTGCAGTTTTTTGATTTGTTCGTTAGTTTGAAAGTAACCAATAGTGAGAGGGGAGTTAGTCAATTGAATCACTGCAAAGTGGGCAGGTATTGTTAGACCCGCCTTCAAGAAGAGCTGGGCCAATGACGTATATTCTAGTGTAAACGTCATTGAGCTGGACACACCCAGAGCACCACTAACACACCCAAAATGGATTCTACTGCGGAGAGTCAGCCAGAAGATACATGCCACCCATGGCCTTATTGAAACATGATTGAAAGATTATTCAGTACAGCAGAACTGAGTCTCTCTCCCTAAAGAGTCAAACTGGACAAAAAAAAAAAACTTTGAAAACCAACTTCTTCTGAACTTGAACAAGAAATTCTTGCTGCAATATTAAAATGTGTCAGTTCATGGGATGTTAGGAGACAAGAGATGTCTCCAAATGGCTCGACATGGTCCAAGTTTTAAAAATGGTGTCAGGAAGTTAAAATATTGTTCACTATTGACCCATTACAAGGTTGACTAGACAGTATTTTAACTAGAGTTGATGACAAACTGGAGTTGAAATGATCAGGGTCTATTCCTTTGTTAGGTCCAATGCTTCTGTTTCCAGGCAGACAACTTTTACTTAAATGTGTTTACTGCAGTTAAAATGACTTAACTGGTTTTACTTTGTGTTAAATAAAAACTTTCAAAGGTATAATCATTCCTCTTTCTTATTTTGCTTAATAACATTTAACTCTGCATGTCATCCCTGAAATTCTGACGCACAGAATCACAAGTCCAAGTGTGAACTGTGTCACAGAGTAAACACAATAAAAACATGAATTATCTGCAGCATTGTTCATTAAAATGACACAACACTATTAATGTATTACAGAACATATACCTGTACATATGGTAGGTACATTTAAAGATATTGTAGACCATTGCATTAGGTAATACATTCAGCAAGTACTTTTACTTTTACTTAAGTAAAATGTTAATATGGTACTTCAACTTTTACTAGAGTACATTTTTGTCTGTTTATTTGTACTTCTACTTGAGTACAGTTTGAGTACTTTCTCCACCACTGTGTTTTTGTCTACATGTGCTATTATACAGCCAAGGGTCGCTGCTGGAAATCAAGTAAGCTTAAAACAATAGAAGAAAAAAGACTACGAGGAGGAGTTTCAGGGTTAAAGCTTTGACAGCATAAATAACGTGTCCTCAATTCTTCTGGAGTAACATTTAAAAAAAAAAAAAACAACAACTCTTGAGCTGTTTTGTATTACTCTGTTTTTTATTTTTAGTGACAGGTATGGAAGCTGTTTAGATTAGATATCTTCTGGGATTTACTGAAGCCCTTACTTGGATACCACTAGAAATAAAAGTATAGAAATGATTAGCCTGAATCTTAAAAGCATGGACAAACCTGTGGAGGATGTGAATAGTGTGCTGTAGTTGGAGTTAAGGCTTGAATTGAGATTAATGTTCAGAGGGTTGTTGAGGTTGGACTCCGAGCTGCTGATGTTAAGGATTGTTGGGGTGGTGGGGGTACATGATGGTGAGCTGGGCACTGATGGGCCTCGTTGCTCTGGATGCAAAGACGATCCTGTGATGGAGAGAAGACACCTGGGTTATTAAAGATATCAATAAAGTGCATTGAATGAATTGTTTGTGAAGAATGTATGCAATGAATTGAAATATTTTGGCCACTCACGTCTTTGAGAAGGTAGCTAGAGCTTTCAAATGTCTTTCTCTCTCTGACATACACATTAAGTCAGTTCTATCACAAAGCAGATGACTAGTGAGCCCACCATGTGTGTTTGTGCATGTGTGTGGGTGTAAGAGTGAGTCACAAGCCTGAAAGCCCCCTCCTTTCCTTCCTCCTTCATGAACCCATGATCCCTCTGGGTACGGTACAAAACACATGCACAGACAATCTTTTGTTTGTTCTATACGTTCCATCCCCATGTGCACCTCATAACCACAGGCACTGGCATCAGTTCTCATATGGGCAGCTCATCTCTGCCCAAACATTAAAACACAACCCACTGGTGCAGACGGACAAATTCTGATCTTCCCTGCTTCACAGGCACATGCCATCGATGTCTACATGTTGCCCCTGATCTGATCGTGCCGGAGATACCGCTGCACCAGTCTGCCTTGACTTGGAACCATACATGACAAAAGATTTGATGTTGATGTTTTACATCTTAGGCAATGATTTGCTAATATTAAGATTTCAACCAGTGTAGTTTCAGCTTCTATAAAAATGCAGTACCTTTGTGGGGCAAAAATCAGTTTACTGCTGCAAGGTCAGCATATACGCTATATACACCTTTACAGCTGATTTTCATCTATACCAGATCATTGAAGAAATAGAGATCCATGCATACTGTTCACACAAAAATGTTAAAGAAGCCTTACATTGCCATCATATACTGACCTTTTTGACAGCCTGGCTGTGAGTACAAGTCTTGGTGGACTTTATTAAGGCTGAACGGATAACCTTCATGTCTATTCATGTACCCTTTCATCAAGGGCATCTTTCATTTTCTATAGATTGAATTTATTACTGGCTACGTGACTACAGATGTATTTAGCTATGCTGAAGGAGGCATGCTTGTGTTTGAGTTTTGTGGATAGTGACTTGGAGCTGTTATTTATTAAACACAGAGATATATCACCTTACATGTTTACAAGATAAACTGTTTATCATAGGGACAGAGGTGCGTAAGGGGTCCATGGAATAGTAGATACTAATGCACTGAAGTTTCCTTGTGTATTCCTATGCAAACTGAGGGGCAGAGTTAGAAATGTAAACCAATTAGAAATGAGATGTTTTCTTGAATTATTGTGGATGAGAATGTACAAAGTATTTTAAATGCAACCAAGTATTAAACACATGGGCTCGTCTTTAGAAAGACATGTTTCCTGACAGGCCTGCTGCATCAGCAACGTCAAACAGTGACTGTAAACTTTATGCTGCTTTGTCTCAACTCAGTCTTTCACCCTGTTGACATTCACGCCATTACTCAAGGTGGACGGCTAGCAGATATAAAACTACTGCCTTTATTGGTTAAAATGTATACTTGTATAGCTTTATTTTTGCTTTTGTTTAGTTTTCCATTTGAAAGGGCTCTAAGCATTGCTCAAAGGGTATTGCCACTGTAACAAGCATAACCTCTTGCCCAGGTTTCATAGTGCAGGATGCACAGTAAGTGATGCAGTCCAATTCATTACTCTGGGTCTTGACTGTCAGGCTACTATAGAGCAAGCTCTGCCACTTCTCTCTTCTTTGGTTAAAGAATGCAACACTCTTTGGTGATCAATCAGAAAATGTATGGTAATTATCTAAATAAAACAGATGTTCTAAATAGAATATGTCACAATTAGATGATTATAAAGTAAACTGATATGTATTGTCATCATTGTATGTTCCCATACAATGGGGAAATTGGTTCTCTTCATTTAACCCATCGCAGCAGGGATACACCCAGGTGGAGCAGTGGGCAGTTATGTATGCGCCCGGGGAGAAATTAGGGATTAGGTGTCTTGCTCAGAGACACCACAACATGTGGGAATGGCTGGGGATCGAACCTGGGAATTTTGGGTCCCAAATTGGCTGCTCTACCTCTACCCTATCTCACCCAATAGGAAGATTAACTATTTTGTATGTTTGTTTTTTGTTTGATTTACTTACTTTACACTTTATACTAAGAACAAAATTCCATTTGGCTCAGGTAATACGTCTTTACAGCTTGAATTTAACCTAAACAGCTTAACCAGTCAGGATCATTAGACTCTTCAGGCTCTCTGGATCATGGTTCTCTGTTAAATGGCCATGCTTTCCACAGATCTTAATAGATTGATATCTGGAGACTTTGAAGACCAGGTGAACAATCTAAACACATTTAAGCCCTTGGTAAGCAGGTCTGGCAGGGGATTATTGTACTTTACTGCTGTAGTAGTGGATTGCTGCTGCCCTGTAGGGGGTGTGATTGGGCTTTAGAAAGGTTTAGGTGGGTGGTGAGTGTCAAAATAGCCTTCATGTGAATGTCAGGATTTAGATGTTTTTTTCCCCAGCATAACATTATGTTGTAGCAAAACGAGCAGCGCTACCTGTCAGTGGACATAATGATATTGCAGGATGGAGTAGGAATAATCTCATAACAGCTTTATAACAGCTTAACCCATAGTGTTAAGAAGATGCAAGACCACAATGAGACATTAGAGATTCTAAATATCTTGGATGAAAGGGCTAAAAATCTTGGTTTCAAAGATAACACAGACAAAATGACTATGTGACAGCAACAGACGCCCATCTGTTCCACTTCACAGGCTTGACAGCACCTAGCCATGACAAACTGTCACTTGCCTCAGTGGCTAGATGTCTCCATGGTAACTTATGGTATGCAGCTGCAGTGAGTGTGGGTGAGCACAGACGTCACAAATGCATCCCCCCACAACTGGAGTGGGTAATGACTCGAGGAACATACCCCAGAGAGCCAGTATGAGGGGGAAGAGATGTGGGGAGGGGGTAAAAAGTGAAATAAGTGAAATGCAAAGAAGAAAAAGGAAGTACAGAGACAATTGGAGACTACTGGAACAGGAACTGGCTGGGGTGGAAAACGTAGCATCTCAAATCTCCATGCAATTACATTTTAATAATGCATCAGGAGGGCATCATAAGAAGCTATCACAGGCTCCCTCCTCACATATAATGCTGGCTGCTGGGAGCCCACGCAAGACAGAAATAACCCCCTCAGTTCTTGGTCTGAGTGACTGCATGGAAGAGTGGAGAGGAGAGCTGAGCATCCAGAAAAGATCTACAGGGGAAAATTCTGATCAATTCTAAGTGCATTTTAACCCCTCGGTGAAGTTCATCCCAAATTATAGATTTTCTGTGAAGAGATATCTGACCTGCTGCGACTGATCCATTAATAGCTTAGCAAGCTATAAAGTGAGAGTTGGAGGAAAACTGTTTGTCAAGAAATTAAGATGAATGCCATAATCTCCAGTGACAGTAAACGAATTGCAAAAATCTTACTTTGTTCTTTTGGCTCCAATATTTCACAGTCAAATCAAAATACATTAAATCCAAGCATTCTGACAGCTTTACGTTGAGAAAAATAGGAAAAAGTGCCCATCACTTATCACTCTTAACTTGAGACAGACACATAAATGTGGATGTTTACTAGATCTGTCATTTCTAACCCAGACCTGAAGCCCAGTCCGGCCCGGCCTAAATTTGGGCCTGGCCGTAATAATGTGCTGGATGGGTGGGCCAGGTCGGTGTTGGGCTTTTGGTTTTTGGTCGAGCTTTTTCTGACCGGTCTTGAAAGAGGTAAAAAGTTCACTTAAGCTTTAGATGAGAAAGCGATCCATCGCCCAAATGGACGTTCATTCAGCCGCTGCACTCAGTGGACTCACGCAGCCGACGACCCAAACAGGTGAGATCCCAAAGCAGACATGTCAGAGCAGGGTCTGTGTCTGAATAATGCAGAATGCAGGCAGAAGCAGGGATTTAATGCAGTGTGATGGCCACGAAAGGACAAACACCCCCTCAACGCTGATCGTCTGCCCCTTTTATTCAGTCACATATGTAAGCAGTCAAAGCTTCGTTAAAAATGTTTTTTTTTTTCAGGTTCGGACCTGTAATTACTGTTAATTTGTCAGATCGGGTGGGGTTTGGAAATGATGGCTATGGGCTGGCCGGGTCGGGTCAGATTTTTTGGGCCTGAATGCAACTCTAATGTATACTGTGTGCCAAATGTTCTTGAAAATCTACTTTTTGTGTTATAAAAACTGCATTAAAAAAAAAAAATATTAACTGGCTCTTGATAATTTCCACTGTATATTGAAATGTAGGCTGTTAATGTCAGAAACAGTAACATTTCATGAAAACATTCCTGAACATGTCCTAAAAGAGAAAATCAAATTCTGTTAGGTAACACCAGAATCTATTTCATCTATTCAGTTCAACATGTTCAATGTGTTGGTCTTTCAGTTTATGATCGTCTCAGCAGTAAACTTATTATAGAAAACTGGGTACAAGAAGCCAAACTACAGAATCACTATGACATTTGCTCGAATAAAATCAAACTGACAAAATTTCATTTCAACCGAGGGAACAAAGTTAATCATTATATGCCATTTTTTTGGGATACAATTTCAAATTACTTGATAATGTATGAGTTGATAAAAAAAAGCCAGCGTGTAGCCTGGACAGCAAAGGATGGGAAATTGTTTTTATGATTTGAGAAAGTACCAATTCAGCTTCCGAAGGTCATCCAAGGATCACAGACTGCATTAACATCACTTGAATGTTACAAATGATCTTTATAAATCTGTGGATGATGCTGGAATTTTAAGAACTTTAAATATTAAAAAAACTTGGCTTAGACAAGAAATTCAGATAAGAATCTTTATCTCTTCTAATGTATTTTCTGTCTGAAACCCAATTAAGTCGTCCCCTGACTTGCTACTTTTTGACAGTGTAAGAAGACGAAAAAGAGCATCACATTTAAATCTGGAATATCGTGCATAATAATTTGAGTGGAGAAGTGTGGTTTCTCACATATAATGGAAATTAAAAGAACAAAATTAGAATTACCTAAAATCCTGAGTTGTGTGATGGTGCCATGCAGGCCAAAGAACATCCAGAGAGGCCTGGAGTTATCGATGCATAGCTGCAGTCCAGCCCTGTTTCCATTATGGCTCATCATAAACTCTCCTTCTGCATTTACCACAAAGCCCAAAATATCTCCACTGTGGAGTGGCAATGCCAGCCTACACATGGCCCAGAATTCCTTGCGGTCAACCAGGGACTCAGGATTAGATGGGAGGTCACTTGGCCTCAATGTGGCTGGGTCACATGACGTCACTCCATAAGATAGTGACCCGGCCCGGGCGGCTCCTGCTTTAACTTTCACAAAGACGGTCTCTGAGCAGTGCATCGGACGGCTGGTAAACACCAGGGTCCGCTCGTCACCACGGTGATCCAGCCGCGTCACGTTGTGCTTATCCAGCGTGGTAACATGGAGGCCATGCACTGCGTGAAACTGCAGATCTGAGTCCAAGTAGCTGGGCAGCAGTGAGCTCTGCTGGGAGTTCTGAGAGTTCTGGGGCACATGACAAGAGGTGGAGCTCAAGGGCTGCAGCCGTTCCTCTTCCTCGTCGTCCTCGTCTAGATGCATCTCCTGCTGCTGCAGGCTCAGGTCACAGAGGCTGATGGAGAGGCGAGGGTCGTGACTGTTCCGCCGTATTGAGGCCCGGTGGGTGGTGGCGAAGGATCGAGGACGTAAGCAGTCCAGGGGAACCATTTCACTGTCTGTTAAAATACACACAAATAAACACATAGCAGTGTTATAAGGGTTTTGTATACGGTGTTTCAAGGTGAACGTGATCACCAGACTGTGTCTTTACCTTCACTTAGGATGCAAAAATGATGAACTCTATTTTCCAATCTTAAAGAACAAGAAATGGCTTACAGCATCGCTGCCTTGTAACATATTCACTCAAAGGCGCTCTTTGTGTTCGGATTGCACTCCGAGCCGAGGAACAAATGCATCAACAATTACATGCCCAGAAATATACCAGGACTTTAAGTGGGGGGCCAACTGCAGCTGCAGGCGGCGTCATAATAAAGAAGCCATAACAGGTTTATGTAATCTTGAAAAAGTAAATAACTTGAACCCAACTCCATGTCTTACCTTAAGGTCCTGTAAGAACAAGTTCATTTTATTTTATTATCATCTGGAGCAGGATTATTATATTTTCAATAATAAGACTAACATAGCGATGTCAGTTTGACTTAACTTTTTTCAAGGGCAGCTGTTTACAATGTACCTATATACAGTTATGTGTTTACGTAACAAATTGTCTCAGCAGCAGTGACTTCCTGCAGCGCTGTGCAATGTTAGGAGTTTTAGTTATGCGACTGCCTGCTAAAGTCAGCTATTTTCCAACAGTTGTAAATGAAAGGCATTTTAAAATCTGCCTCCCGTGTCTGTGCCACACAGTACCCTCTCATAAATAGCTGTTCCATGTTAATACCTGTCACTGTAAAATCGAAGCCACACGGGAACATGGGTGCCAGAAAGAAAACCTAAAGAGAACATGCTTCCCATGCGCTCAGTCAGTACATATAGATCTCCTTCATGGCACGCTTTGACGTTCTGTGCCAATTTTTAAACAAGCTAAAATTAGCCTGATTAGACATTGGAGAAGAGTTGGGAGAGAAAAGGGGGAGGCCGTGGGTAAGTGACATGATGTCTTTCTGGCTTGACCTGCTTTGGGCTTCCCTTACCTGAAGTGGACGGAGAAAAAGAATAAGTCAGGGCAAGATTAGATGAAAAATAGCGCTGGGTAGACACTTGAGAGGCAGGGCATACCTCACCAAGCTCCTCTTTTATCACCCAAAGACAGCACATCTCCGGCCAGCTACTGATAAACTGCTTGAACTTAATTACTTCCTCTGTCAAGAGTGTGCACAAGCAGCCACAAGGCTCTTATTATTAGCAGCCTTATCATCTTCAAGGCAAAGTTTGCCGACGCGTGGATGCAAGAGATCAGTTCTATTCTTACGGCGTCGTAAAGTTCAGTTTCTGTTTGTGAGACGTGCAGCAGTCAAAACTAACTGTGAGAGAAACATTATATTTCAATGCATTTTGAACAAAAAAAAAATCAAAAATGATATAAGGCCAAACAAAATATGTGCATGGCAAATAAATATCAAAGTCAAAGTACAAGTTTCTTTATTTGTCATACATGCATGTGGTGGAACGAAATGGTGCACACAAATATGCATGACTTTTCTGGGTGTAGCCTCAAAAGGAGGCACAGAATTTCACACATTTGGCCAAAAGGAAATTAAAATCACACGGTGAAAATTTAATGTTTTTAAAGAAAAAAAACAATGAATTCAAACACTATTTCTGAAATCACACAGGTAAGAATAAGTATTTCACAGTATACAACCCCCACCCCCACATACATTTTTTACTAAGCTCTCGAAGTCCTTCATGTGTAAAAATCACATCTTATGTTTCTTGAACATAAGACATGAAAAAAGTTTTCCTGCTTGCCTTTGAAAAAGGTGAACACCCCCCCCCCCCCCCCCCCGCTTCTGCTCTTTGTCTGTGCTGAGGTTTTTTTGTTGTTGTTGCAACTTTCACACTGTGTTCCATCTAGGACACAGTGTGATATATGAATTCTTTACACTTCTTCTTTCCTTGTGTTTCCACTTTACCTTATCTAAACGAATAAGGGCAGCGTCTCACACGAGGCCTCAGCCTCAGACACCTCCGTCTACCCATGTCTGTTTGTTAGTGTTTTACTTGGACGGGCTGTACTGAAATGTCATTTTGTTGTGCTTTGGTGCAATGACAATAAAGCTGATTCTGATTCTGAGTCACTCTTCTACAATCTGAGCCTGATAAATCTTTCCTGGTCAATTAAAAGTTTAAATAAAATAATAAATCCTGAAAATGATGACCCATGTCATGGGTCAATAAATCCTGCTCACGTGTGCCTATAAAAAGTGTTTTGTTTCTCCCCACAGTTTTTGATTAAAAAAATATCTTTAACTCTCAGAGGAGTTGACAGGGGGGGGGGAGGGCGGGCCCCGGAGGCCATCTTAGCATCAACGTTCAGAATCAAGCAATCAGAAGTTCATCAGCAAATAGTTTTTTTTCCACTGTGGAGTACGCTGTTTGTGGGAATCAGTTTTATTTGATGGCTCCTCAGACTGAAGAAGTCCTTTGAATGAAGGACGAAACGTCTCAGCAAAGACAAAGAAACCGTCCAGATGACCTGACTGAACATTGTTGGATTTCTATCTGGATTACTGAACATGAACTTTGGTTACTTTAACTAACCCAAAGTTTTTAGTAAATATTTCAAATAGTCCATAAATTCGTTTAGATTATGTTATGTTCCATAAGCATCCACCATTTTTGGGTTAATTTGCTGCTAAATGTTGTTGTGTTGCATATGTCCAATGAGCTGGTGCACTAAAAAAAGGTTTTTAAATAAATTGTGTTAAACTTTATTCTTATCAACAAGATAAACATAAACGTGACAAGTCTTAAAGGTTGGTTATTGTTGACACTATCTACCTTGCACAGTTCCATTAAAGAACTGAGAGACAGATGGCCAAAAACATGTTCAAAACCATAAATTATAAACAAATAAAAAGAAATCCTCTTTGGAATTAAGTTGCATAGTTAGATTTTATGCAAAACTCCATGTTCTGTGAAAAGGCCATGAATCTGTGTGTGAGTGTGTGTGGGTGGGATGGCAAATTTATATCTGTCACTTCCATACACTGTCACTGCTGTTTAAAATGTCCCCGGCCCAAATGTTTCTGCCCACAAACCATGTATCAAGTGTCAGCTTTCTTTGTTATTACATTTTAAAATAAACTAGCTCTCGTTTGATCTCAGTTCTCCCATTAATAAGTCACTCAAACTCAAACACACACACACACACACACACACACACACACACAGGTGTGGGCATGTTTTCTGTTTAAATTAAGCTTGTTTCCCATGGAAAATTTACAGCAAGGTTAGCGTCACACACCTTTTGAAATTTAAACTCGGCAAGGCTTCAGATTGTTTGATAGCAGGAGCTAAACACAACGGTAATTATCTTCTACTTTGGATTTTTAAAGTTCACGTCCTCAAAGTTTTTGAACTTTTTTCAAGCATTGCAACAATAGCTATACAGTTTAGTGACAGGCTGAAATTACCTTGCTGACATTAAGTATTTAAGTAGTCTCCAGCTTCTGATTCTCAAGAGAAAAATATTTAAATAGAGCAATGAATACCAGCCTGATCTGCAAGGTCAAAGGTTGACCACTTGTCTTTGGCTCTTTATGTTAGCTGTGGGAGAAAATCTGTAATCAGACTCCGGCTGGACACTATGGGGGGAACTTTCTCAACTTAAATGAAGTAAGAACACACCAATTGTAGAACATACACCTGCAGTATAAATCCACTTGATGTAAAGAAAGGCTTCACTCAATCTGGAATAACCAGTTACAAGAAAGTAGAAGTATTACTGAGAAACAGAAGATGTCAAACAGAAACCTGCAAACATGTGAGCACACGCCGAGATAAACTACTGCCGCTTCCAAAAGGAGTTGGTTTTCCTGTCAAAGTGTAGCAGTCTGACTCCATTCAAATTGAAGCACATGACCTATTCTTGTGTATACAGCACTACTATCATTCTTATGTATCTTTTTTTTCCCCTGGTATTAAACTGCGCTCAGTCATACATTGGTGTGGTTCTAACTTCCGTTTATTCCTTTTCCTCTGCCGAACAGGATTAAGGAGGCATTTGGGAGTTATATTGGTGTTGCAACCTCTATACAAGGTCAGCTACAATGATTGTGTGCATGTGCACACTGGACAAGTGTGTTTTGGGGATTTTCTCTAAGTATGGCTAAGAAGGGGGCTGTCCAGGGCTCTGGATAGATGAGTGAGTAAAGTCATCTGTCATGAGACAGGCAGCTCCGGGGGTTAGACGTTTGACCCAAAAAGGACAAGAATGAGCTTTTGCTTGACAAACAATACAAATAAATCAGTTAAGAATGGGCTCTAGGAGGATATATACAAGTATGAAGCAGCAAAATAATCTAGGCTGATAGAAATCATGGGACAAGCTCAGCAGGTTGAGATCCTTGGATATCTTCCAACAAGATCCATGAGGCATTTTAGAGAACCAAGTCAAGTTTGTGGTTTTGGTGAAAGACATTTTTGAGTTTTAAATTAGAAATGTGACAAATGAATAACCTGACTGTTGCTTTATCTTTCAGGTTACAGTCCTTCTCAATGAATTAATGCACCAAATGGACCAATTTGCTAATTTTAGTGCGTATCCAGTGCTCGGCAAAGTCTCAAATCTAGTTTGAAATACATTCCTGTAGCCATGCTGTAGAATCAGCTCAGTGTTTAAAAGCCCTGCAGATGGACAGAGTTGTTCACTGGCCCAGAGGAAAAAAGGCACACATTCTTGTTTTTACTTGGACTGGACTCTTTATCTGCAAACGATTAGCCTTCTCTCTGAAGGTTCCCCCCCTCTCCAGCTCATCTCCCAGGAAACTACGCTGACAGGCTCCATTACGTGTTTTGTTTTGATTTCCTGCAAATCTGTTCAATTCCATGTAAGTCGATTCAATTCCAGCTGAGGCACAATAGCCTGTCCAGACATTTTAATTTTTGTTCCACAAATCAAATGAATTCCAAGCATTTTGGTCACCAGAAACAAGACTCGCACAAATGCTTGGATTTCTCCTGTAGGCATAATAGAAGCAATTCATCAATC